ACCCGTGAGACGAGAGTTGGTGATGCGGCCACCCGCGCGCGCACTGCCGACAGCTCCGCTCTCAGGCGGCGCGCGTCTGCGCCGGCAGCATCGGTCGCCTGGGCCCATGATGAATGGCTCCTGAGAGCAGACTCGACGCACCGCAAACACTTGTGCGCTCGTCTCCACGCCTCCTTGAGCGCCGCGTCCGCATGCGAGCGCGCCGCTGCCGCCGCCTCCTCGAGGCGCCTCCGGTCATCGGCGAGGATGGCTGCCGCCTAGAATGATGGCAGCAACTCTTCATGCCCGTCCCGCTGGCCAGTGGCAGCAACGCCAAACGACTGCCTCTGCGTCCCGCTGCGCCGCCGCTGCCTGCGCCGCGGCGTCGCGCCTCTCCTCGGCGGCGGCGAGCAAACTCATCTGCGCCCGCATCGCCTCTCGGTCCGCATCAAGCTCTGCCTGCGCCTCCGTCGCCTTCGCCTCCGCCGCACGCAGCTGGCCGCGCAGAGCCGCCACTTCCGCGCGCATCCGCGAAGCCACCTCCGCCGCACGCGCCTCGCTCCCAGGGGTCGCCGGCAGCACCGCAGCGGCGCCGTTTTGAACTGCCGCCGTCGTCCTCGTGTCGCCACCGTCGTGCCCGCGGAACGCGCCGAATCCGTCGTCCGCACTGCCATCGGCGGGCGCTGTGCTCGGAGCTACGCGGGCAGCGGCGGGTGGCGTGGCTCCCCCGATTGCCTCGCTGCGGAGAGCGGCTGCGGCGGCAGCGGGCTGCTCGCTCCGGATGCGCTGCACCACGGCGGCGTGCCTATCGCGAACATCAAAGCTGCGGCGCGACTGCACGGGCGAGAGCCGCGCTTCACACGCCGCGTGCTTCTCGAGCATCGCCGCCTTTTGGCGCTCGAGGGCCGCCTTTCCCCAGCCAGATTGGGAGAGTGACCGACGGGTGTAGAGAGGATTCGGTTCGCAGGGGATCTGGGAGGCAACAACGGGCTTGGCTGGGGTGCGCGCCTTGGCCGAAACGTGCAATCGCCCCATCTTCTCCTGTCTCTCTGCCAGCTCAGCTCGCAACCTCTCAACCTCTTTGTGCAAGCGCTCGATCTCGGCGGTAGCTGCTATTTGCCGCTCTGCGTGCGCGCTGCCATCGGCAACTTCTGCCAATTGCCGTTCCTCCAAAGCTGCCGCGACAGCCGCGGCCTCGCGGGCCGCCGCGCCCTACCAATGCGGAGGTGGGTGGGTGAGTGGAGGGGGGGGGGGGGGCTTGCGATCTCGGCCAAGCTCAAGCCATGCCGGCCCACTCTCACCTCCTTTGCCAAAGTCAGCTCCTGTTGCATCGCCGCGACCCGGCTCTCCATAGCGCTCTTGGCGGCCGCCAGCTTGGTGCGCATCGTCCCGAGAGACTCGCGCTCTGAGGAGAGCGCCCCCTCGAGGCTCACGACTTTGTCCTTCAACCTGGCTGCCTCGAGCCTCGCAGCCTCGGCCTAGAGTCGAGAGCAGTCCGCGAACTGGGACTCGCGAGCCGATTCATTCGTTCAGGCGGCTGCGACCCCTCGGCCTGGGCGGCCAAATTGGCAGAACTCGTCGCGCCCTTGGCGGTCTCCTCAGCCGCTGTCTTGCATGCCGCCGCCGCCGCCGCCGCCTCCGCACTCTCCGCACGGGCCGTGGCTGTCTTTGCCGCCTCGAGCGCCGCCTCGATCTGTTTCCCGGCGCGGGCCTCCGCCTCCGTCACAGCCTCGTTTGCGCGCTTGCGCATTGCATCCTGCGCGGCCGTGCCAGCCTGCTTTGCCGCTGCGAGCTCGGCAAGGGCGGCCTGTGGGCAAGAAGGGGGGCGTTGGGGAAGAAAATGGGAGGGCAAATGCCAGGTATGGGGGGCGCCTGCTTCGCCGCGGTGGCGGCCGCCGCCGCCGCCTCACTGCGCTCCTGCGCCTGGGCGACCGTCGTTGCCATAGCGGCTGCGGCGCGGCGCTGCGCGTCGGCGTCCGCGTTCGCCGCCTGCACAGCGGCGCGTGCCATCGCCTCCGAGCCTCGCAGCATCTCAGCCTCTTCCCTCGCCTCGGCCAGCTGGGCGCGGAGCTGCGCTGCTTCGTCCGACGCGCCGGCCGCCGCCGCCGCGGCGGCCGCCTCCGACGCCGCCGTCCGAGCCGTCTCCTGCGCCTCGGACTGTACTCGAGCGCGCGCCGCCTCCGCCTCGCACGCTCGCGACTCGGCTGCCTCGGCGCGAGCGGTCGCCTGGGCGGGCGGGCAACGGGAGAGAAGAAGTGGAGTGGTCGTAGGTGCCGAGTGGTCCAAGCTGCCGAGGGTTGGTCTACATCGCGCGTGGTGAGGCTGGGTAGAGACGCCTCAGCAAGCTGCATGGCCACGGCGGCGCGGCCAGCCTCGGCACGCTCGGCCGCGGAACGCGCCTCGGCGGTCTCCTCGCGT